GAGAATCCAAATATTGAGATTTGAAATTTCAAAGATTTTTTTAGAAGATTTGGAAAAACCTCCTGTGTTCAACGATCTCGTAAACGATCTTAAAATTCATCGACATAGTGGAAACGCGAGTGCACACATCCCATAAATGCGCGCATGTACCGTTTTAAGATGAATCTTTTATTAAAATGCTGGAGAAGGGTCTCGTCAGCGAATAATGTTACAGTTTTGCATTCGGTCGAGAATTCCTGCAGGAGCATGTTAGATATGTGGAATTGCGGTGGTATACCCGCCCGATCTCCCTCTTTCTCTCTCCCTCTCTCTTTTTCTCTCCTCTCTCGGATGCTCATGGATCGAGTTAGGAGAATGGGCGATCGTGACAATCGTATCGCCCGCACTTTCGTTCGCCCTCCGGGTTAACGTCCACCTTCTATTTTCCGCGAAGCGAATTAGGTACGAATAGCGATCCCAGTCGCCTTCAAACCCTTTCCGCAAATGCTCTTGGCGTGGCTCAACTTTGTCCCGTGCTCTAAGCTCGTTCGGGTAATTTTATCGTCCGTCTGCCAGCCAGCTGGCCGGCTTCTGCTCTCTCGTGACAACTAATTTATTTGGTCGCGAGAGCAACCGAGAGAAAGAGGAGAGGGTGAAGGACAGAGAACGGGAGAAGGCGAAAGAAGAGGCGGGAAAGGGCGAGATTGAGACGAAGAAGCAGAACGCAAAGGGTTGCCGCGCGAGAAATCGATACAGCGCTCTTCCAGATTTTATCCCCGTTCTTGTTCTATCCTCCCTCGTACTCTCTTCCACTTCTCCGTCTCTTCTTTTCTCCTTCTCTCTCCGCGTTCCGCCTCAATCGGCGTAGAGAAAAGTTTCCGTGCAGACGCTTAGTTACAGCGGCTTCCGCGGATAATCCTTCCGCCAATTTCGCGAAATTATGTTCCGCGGTCTTAGCTAAGGTTTCAATAAGGCGAGGCGCGGGCCGCGAAAAGCAAAGTTAAATAACACAATCCACCTTTCTTAAACTAGATATAATTCTTGCGAGTAATCCGCGAGTAATTCCGCGATTGCCCACAGGAATCGTTATTTGTAAAAGAATTTCCGTTTGACGTATAAAAACATTGTCTTCTTATTCGTTATCATATTTCATTCGATACAATTGCGGATTCGCTTTATCGCCGACATGTCGCCGAAATTAGCATTAGCAGTTCTTTCTGGCGATCAATTAGTTTGTCGAAGAAGAGACGAGGAACTTCCTACGATTTTCGGTATAAACTGACTTTGGACTTTCGCGGATATAATCCTCTTGCCGATTGCGCAAAATTATGTCACTTACTAGCCTTAACTGAGACTTCAATAGGAAAATGTAACATTGTGAAAGTTCCGGGAAGACAAAAGACCATGGTGCAGTCGCATCCATTGTTAGAAGTTGCTTAGCAGTCGAGTTTATATCATGCGATAGAGAATTACTGTAATCGGGCGTGCGATCAACTATAAATCCCCTCGGATCGTGCGATTTGTGAGAGTATTGCTGAATTCACAAGCGTCAAATCTTCGTAATTTCCTAGTTTTTCAGAACGGAGAATATAATCCGATTCCCTCCCAACGGCTTGATATTAATAAGCAACGCAATTAATATAAACGTGGATTACATTGGCATCGAATCATTGCGCAGTATTATTGCCTGCAAACGAAAAGTAATTAATATCAAACATAAAGCGAACGTATTAACGTGCGGAATGCAATTCTCGGATGCGTAAACAGCTGAGAAAAAATGAGCGAAAACTTTCGATAAAATAAATTAAATATTACAATATTTCGTAAAATAAATTAGATTAGTGTAAAAGAAATATGTTTTTATATCAAGACTAGTAAAGCGATATATTAAAGTCAAGATAATTAAGATTAAAGAGAGTGAGAGACAAAAATTTTAATTTTATTAAAAATGTAAATAAATCATATATGACACGAGGAAAATTTTTCTTTCATAATAAAGTGATTAAAATCTTATTTCTTGTATAATTTTATATATAATTTAAAAAACATATAATTAAAAAAAATAGTAAAGTAGAAAAGCAGCCTGCTGATTTTTTTTATATAAAAGTCTAAATAATTAAGATGCTATAAAACGCCGTTTGTCTTATATAAAAATCGTCGAATTAAATTCGTCGCAACTCCGCATTTAGTTGTTCACGTGAATCGGCAATCAGACCATGATGCAGTTTGCCGTAGGAGATTGAAAAGTATCTTGGGAGCCGCTTTCAGAAAGTCGCGCGAGGAGACGCGCGCCAGAGATGAGATATCAAAATTGTTTTAAAGTCCCGATCGAGTTGACGAGTCTTTACCGCGGGGGTCTCGAGAGGGTCTTCTCGGATTGAGAAGTCCTATCGAGGGCGTAAGTTCTTCCTCTTACGACGATCCCTTCCCCCATCCATCTACTCACTTCCTCTCTCACTCTCCCTCCTCCCCTGAGACAGGATCCCGAGGACTTCCGCTGACGAAATAGGGTGTATACCCTCCAGCGACTTTCGCCTGTTTCCTCGTTCGGCGATCCTCTCATTTATGGAAGTTACCGCGAATTTTGCTGTCCTCCCGCATCTCCCAGAAGGTATAGTGCTTTTCTTTAGTCTACTGCAAACGTTATTTGTCTTCGGTTCGCGTCCTTAACTGTCAAGTTTCGCGAGAAGGTGAGAGCAAAGTTTATCGATTAAGATTAATAACTATTTATTTTTAAAATTTATTCCTTTCATACTTTCGTTTATACATAATGCATAAGATGTAAGAAAAAAATCTCCGCGCATACTATACAGAACTTTCGCTATAATTGCATTAAATTCTTTCTCGAGTAATATTACTAATTTATTCGATGCTCTCTCTCCTTTCTCTTCTCCACTCGCGTGATACACATCGATGTAAATTACAGAAGGATTTCGTAAGCGAGTACATTTTCCTTATTCATGGCGTGGGACCGCTCGCTCATCTCGCTCGTCCTCGTTCAAGTTTCACACGTGTCGTCCGTTACGACTGTCGGGCATAAAAGTCAGAGACGTAGGTGTAGCGTGTCACAAGAGTTTTATGTTTACGACGCGTGTGGCTGTTACACTTCTAATTGCGAGCCACCAAAACCGCCAATAGAGCCTCAGAACACCAGCCGTTCCCGTAAAACGTGCTTTCTATGCAAACGCGGCGTCAAGGGCGCGCCCTAACCGCCCCGTATTTATTCAGCCGAGGAGGATTTTAACTCGTGTACACTCGAGGTATGTATATCCCCGGAAAATTGACGACGAAAATTGGGTCGAATATTGAGTCGATCGGAAAAGTATCCAAGAGAGATATTATTTTAAGTTCGCTTCCGAGAGACTTATAAATATATCGTAATTTTGCGGCTTTATCGACACGAAACGGATTAAAAATAAGAGACATCTAGATAGATTTTAAATAGATTTGGTTTTTTTATCCAGATATTTGTAGAAATTTTTTTCTGGTACATTAGAATAATATAATAAAAGTACGCAAATGATAAAAATACAAATTATAAAATTTAATGTCGTGTTTATTTCGTTTTTATTATTTTCTGAACAGGAAATTCTATACAAATTTATTCTTTTTAAATATTATTGTATTTATTAATATTTTTTAAGATTATAATAGAACTGGAAAATAGCGAAAAAAAAACATTTCATCTTTTTGCCTTTCAATTGTTTCTCATTCAATCAATTATCTGATTTATATTGAGGCAATTATGAAAAGATCTATTTTTTGCTTGCTTTTGTCGTAATAATAATGCCTTTTTTAAATGTGACTTTTAATGTAATATATTTTTAAATTTTGAGAGAGATCGCTTTTTCTGCTGATTTCTTGTCAAAGAGGTATTGTCTATAAATTTATTATGTTGTTTTGTGAAAAGCAAAATTGTAGAGAAACGAGTGATTTGTCAGAAAAAAAATAACTTTCAAACCGTCGTAATTAAAAAATTAAAAATTTTACATAAAAGAATTATGATTTCTTTTATTTTTTTAGATTGAATCTAATAACTTGCAGTATTTTTATATGTAGCGATTATCCATTTTTCGTCGTCAGGAATAAACGTAGGAATAAATTTTGCACATTTATAGAGCAACAAAGAAGCTTACTACAGGATTAAATAGATTTGAACCGCCAGATTGCAAGATTACCACGCGCAGATGAAAGCCACGACACATTTTGTAGAACAATGTTGATCTTTCCGAATAACTCACTTCTTGATCCTTGCTGTCCGTTTACGTAGAGCAACTTTGAGATCCGCGTTCGATCTCACGAATTTGGGAAAAGCGAAGGGCAACAATCGAGAAAGGGAATGTTGAGCGAGCGATTTACGAGAGAGAAAGAGGGGAAGGGGTGAAAAAGTTGAGAAAGCAACCGAGATCGAAAGGTCGAGGGGCAGATAGGGAACGCGGAAAACGTTCTCGACGAATTCGTAGGAACCTTTTAGTCCCGGCGGGACCGCGCCAGAACAGATTATCCGTCCATTATTTCAGGGTAGGCACAGCGGTCAAGGAAGGGGAAAGGGGCGAGAGAGAGTAGTTGGAATAGAAGGGATCCGGCTCTAGAGACGAGTGGGGCGTTTGGTTTGACGGAAAGCGCGTTGTGCAGGGGGTGCGAGCAACCCTCTTTGCAAACCGAAGAGAACTCGATAGAAAACTCCTTGTTACGATCGTCGCGATCTCTCACGCGTGAGGAGAAAAATAAGAAAAATAAGAAAAGAAAATGAAATGAGAGAGAGAGAGAGGGAGAGAGAGAGAGGGAGAGAGAGAGAGAGAGAGGACACAATTAATACTGTCGGTCCAGCTTTCGCGGCTGCGCGCACGGCGCTCCCTCTTCGTCCTCGCTCTCGCCCTCTCGTCCTCTTCCTCTTTCGCGCACCTACACGCCACCACCATTCCTCCCCCTCGCCGCGGACCTCCGCCACCTCCTCGTAGCGGCGGGGGTGGCTCTCGTTGCCGCGATCCCGAGCCTCTCAGTCGCGCCGAGAGCCCGCTTCGTTGCGGGGTGACCTCTCCTCTACCTCGGCGAGGGTGCCTCCTCCGCGCCGGGTTCTCCTCTCGGAGTCCTCTGTCGAGTGCTCGCGCGAGCGGACGGCCATTCGGGCCGCGAGTCCGATGTCCGTGTAAGGGTTGAATAAGCATTAACGACGACGATCTGTTCGCCGAGAGGAACAATTCCGAGTCTAGCGAGTTTCGCGATCGCCGGAGATAATCTTCCTTCTTTTTGGGAGATCTCGCCACTCCTCGAAACTACACCCGTGATTCGCGGAAATTCTACGAGCCATGCCGAGAGACGTAACGAGAGCTCAAAATCGATCCGCCGAGACTTCCCTGGGGCTGGAGTTCATTAAAGTTGATTAAAGTTGCCTGTCGATGGCGACGAATGGAGCGCGTTTGTATCTTCCGTGCAACGGGACTCAACCGTGATGCCAGGGGTGTTACGCGCATGTAAAGTTTCACGATTTGGCTTAGTTCGCGCTTAAGGATCAGACGAGTCCGCGTAGAAACACACAGTGAGTGTAATCTAATAATACTTTGATGCTCTCCCCTTCACGTTACATATCGCGAAGAGGGTTTACCATCTAAGCGCTCCATGCTTTCTACAGAGACAGAGACATCACGAAGAATTCCCTAAATCAACAAAATAGACATTGCCAAGACCGTACGACGTTTTCCCGCAAGAAGCTCGGCATTTTTCCGCAGCAACGGAATGGCGAGTAGCACGAAGAGTAATTTAAAGCTTTAAGATTCCTCGCGCGATCTGCTTCGAGAGGTACCTATAACGTTCTGTTTCACATCCTTCGATGCGGAACCTACCTATCTCGTCACAAAGAGTGCCTCATCTATTGTAATTCGCACACGGCAGTGTGCAGGTTCAATAACGCGACTGACACTTTTCATACTCACCGTAATCAGTTTTGGCTTGGTAATTTCGCACGAAGCAGCTCTCGAGTAGCACATAATTTTCGCGGGCCCTTCAAGACACGAGTCTGAAGGAAAGGGAGCGACCGATCGATCGTCGTAACGAAGCTTTGCGTAGAGACAAAGCAGGGAAAAAAGGGACGCTCCGGTGAAAAAAAAAAGAGGACGACGATCCTCTTCCCCGCGCGCGAGAAGCGAACGATCCTCTCGGGAAAGAGCATCGAGACGCGTAAGGAGCCTCGTAAGGGATCTCTCGTCCTCGAGACAAACGAGTTCTTTTCATCCGAGAAAATCACGGGCTAGATCCTGCTCTCTTCGATCTCGAAGAAAACACCTGCAGGATTAAATCAGCAAGAGACGTTGAGCGTTGCTCGGAGATCGTTTATTAAGCCCCGGGCTTGTACTTCGCTATTCTTCGCTGATGTGGCGGTCCCCTTTCGTGTACGCGAAACACATTCCTCGTTTACGTCGACGAGGTGGTCCGTTCTATCGTGCATTGTCGTCTCGATTGTTACGAAAGCCGGGCACGAGATATCTCGGAGCCGTAATTAAGGATACAATTAATGGCCCGCCAATTAAATATAATTAACTCGATAGTTAGAATGCGGTGGCCTCTGTCTGCCAATTAGCGCGTTAGCGCCTTATCGATCATCGACCGTCTCTGCGAAGCGCGTCACGATCGAGACAATAAAATCGATCGTAGATGATCGCGAGCGTTGCGAGGCCGAAAGCTCGTAACCCGAATCGAAGAGAAGAATAGTAATTTGAGAGAACGAGAGCGTTTTCGCTCAGCGAAAAGCTGGAGAATCGAGATAACGTGCTAACGAGGGACGATTAATGATCTTTCGGGGTCGATAACATATCGTTGTCTTTCTCTCTTCGGCGAAATCGCTCTCTTTTCGACGCGACCACTTTCAATAAAGAGGTCAACCGCCCTCCCTTGAGGATCGCCTTTTATACTTCAATATATACACGAACTGCACGAAAAGAAAGCTGCAAGAAAGCGAAACTCGTTAAAGAATGTTCACAAAAGACTACCGTGAGATTAATTTCCCGACCCGCGCCGATCATCGTGTTGAATCGGGTTGTTCGAGAGCACTTCATAAACTAGACAGGCTCCCCGGACGAGTATTTTCCTCAAGATCGTTTCGTTCGACGCGACAGTGATTATCGGCGGACGATCTTTTTGCCAATCTTCATCACTGCCGGCTCCGAAAGCGATTCGGAGCTAAAGGATGCGACTCTCCTTCGCGGTTTAAGCCTTCGGAAGTCGTCGAGACCCCACCAGCGAGGAAAGGACAACGTCGCGAGCGGCAGGAGGGACGGAGAATGCCGGCAGGGTGCACGTGACGAACGGAGCTTCCCTCCAGGTTTGCACGGTAAGTTCTCGATCCATTTCGATACAAGAGCGACGCTTGCCTTCGCGAATTTCTGCCAAAGTAGCTCATCGCATTCGCGAGTTCGACGTAGAAATTTCCGCGCGTACCTTTTCGTCTCCTTCCGTCGACGACTTCCGCTTCGAGGTACTTTCAGCAGCGCAAAAGCTTCCCTTGGTGATTCAAATTCGCGCTCGCGTATATATATATATATATATATATATATATATATATATATATATATGTTTCGCGCGCAATACACGAGATAGGTGATTGAGACTCTTGGGAGATGCACGGTAAGGCAAGACGGAGAGTAATTAATGTTGCAACGCACATAACGAGGCGCGGCTCGAGCTGTGCACTCTATTGACTCAAATAACGATCTAAATTAATTTCGTGGGTATACAGAGGAGTCGAGTACATACGCGTCGGCGCCAGCAGTTGTACAGGAAAATGTCGCTTAAAGCTCGCTCCCTACGAGAAGTAAATCCCCTTTCTTCGTTATCATATACATTGAAATGATAATCTTATAAGCTGCAGCGAAATCGCGATAGTCGAGCTCATTTAATTCTCGCTCAAGATCCGCGTGGTTTAAATACCTAAGATAAATATCTCCCTTCTCTCCCTCCTAATAGTAAACGTCACGCGCACGCGAATCCTACTTTGATTAACGACCTTAACAAGCGCGGTGACGCTCACGATGGCTTTCCGATTCCGGGTTTTGAGGACGAAAGAGGCGCTCTTTATCGATCTCGCACGCAGCGGCGATTAATTATTTCAACGACGATAACCCGGCAGCTCGTAGCAAGGCGTTCGACTGTCCCCGAGGGACACGGAAGCGCGTGTAGTACCTGCAAGGTACTCGGCTTTCGCGCGGTTCGTAAAGCCGTGCTTACAGGGCGGAGGGATTAGGGGGAACCGTTTGCAGCAGGGAGATTCGGATTCTACGACAAGGCAATTTCGCCGCACCTGCGTCCGCTTGAAACGAAGGGGGTGAAGGAGGAGGAGGAGGTGGAGTTTTGGGAGAACGAGGGGAGGGGGCAGGAAGCAGGTCGACCGCGATATTAAGGTCCCCGTGTCCTCGCTCATTACGACACCTGAGAAAACCGCGTCGTATGTTCCGGCTTATCTCCATTAAGGGAACGGGAATTACTACGGGAGCCCCAAAGTCTCGTTGTGCGCGCGCGAGCATACATATATGTAATTTGCGTCGAATGCGTGTATATATTCGCGTGTTTATGCATTCCTCTCGAAAGGCGTTCCTGTTTTCACGGGCGCTGGAATCATATTGAATCATGACATCGAAAGATCGCAGGATCGAATTTTTCTTTTTTTTACGAAATTAGACAACGCAAAGCGCGCGCCATTTATTCCCTTTTATTATATATACATTTCTCATTGTCACACAAGCTGTCAAAATTTGTAATAATCGCAAATGACAGCTGCTAACAACATGAATTGAGCGCAATAAAAGAATCAATCGGCATCGCGGAAAAACGGCAACAATTCAAGCGTCACATGCCTTTTTTCATATAGGATACATTTGCTTTAGGAATGAATTAGCTTTGGCCCGACACTTTGATTCAAATTGGGAAAATGTGTCGAAGACTCGTCTTTTCTCGTTGCATGGATTCATAAATAAAATCCTGACTTTCACGAGATCCATCTTTCACTGGAAACATAAATCATGTATAGATTGAATTCATGTATTTACTAATATCGAATTAATTCAAGGCTCTAATCTGAGAATTAATTAATTATAATTTATGTATTAAATTTACAATTACAACACTAGCGTGTCTCGGCTACCTCATGATATTCAGATTTTACGGTAGTATATATATTTTTTTTTCTGCGACAGCGCGTTCCCTGAATGAGAGACGAAAGAAAAGTTATCGAGCGGCGCGCGGTGTCCTAAAAAGCGCTTCCCCTTAACGAGCGGGATCAGCGATAAAGTTCTGAGTTATGTTCCAACTTCTGGAGTCGGTCGATCTACGTCGCTCGCACTTCGCTCCGGCCTCTGATCGTATTGCATAATGACGACCGCGTCGTTAGAGAGTCCCGTAACGTTGACTGATACAAAACGGTAGGAATCCTCTGTGATTAAAGACTCTTTTGCACCCACGAATGCCCGGAGATCAACGGCCTCTCGTTCGAGGCAACAAAAGAACGATTACGACGATAAATCGCTTTATTTTCGATTCGAGTTTAAAATACGAAGACAATCGAAACGAGAGTTCTGGTGAAGTAAGGTTACGTAAAAGTTGCATTAATTGTGTGAATTTTTCTCGCGTCATCAATTTTGTCATAATTTACAATCATTTGTAATTAAATGTTAATAATTTTAATGCGCAAATGCTTGTTGGTAAAAATTTAATGTGCAAAAGATTATATATATGCATAAAAAGTGTGTATTTTTAAATATATAAAAATCTCCGACTGGAACAAACTTTATCAAATTTCCTGATATTTTAATATCGTTACATAAAATTACCAGGAATTTGCTGGATGCGCGGTAAAAATTTCATTATGTCGTTATAATAAAATTCCACCGTACTGCAAATTAATCGTTAGGAGAATCTTTATCTCATTTTTTTTAAATTAATTAATCATCATCGATTGTTAAAATTAATTGACTTTGATATCGTATTTTTCTAGCCCTCTTTCTTTAGGTTCATTAGCGAAAAGTTCTTATTACGTAACAAGACAATCTTATTACGTTCGATTTACTTTACTCATCGAGTGTCTTCCAAGCCAATCAACGATAGCGGACCCAAAACACGCACACATCTGTTTATACACTTTTCAATTTAATAATGATGCGCAATAATGATAAAGATAAATAGCCAATTACATTGTTTAGTAGTAAAGGTCCTTCAGTAGCAACAGTCCTTCCGAAGAAACACTTGGAACGGTCTCGTTATAAATTCTTGCAAAACAAACTTAAATAATAAGATTTCCCAAGTTGGACGATAACTTCGGGTTTACGTAAAACTCGTCCAGGCAAACAGAAGCGTGGGATTTTCAATTTATCGAGCAAATGTTTTTCGTGCGGCTTTTGGTCTCGTGTATGTACACTAACGAACGAATTACGAGACCGACAAAACGAACATCGCCGTTAAAGACGGGAACATGTCCGAGTTGTAACTGCGAACGACGCACTCCGTGTTTTCGTTTATCGGTGGACGGATAAGCGTGAATATTGACGTGACGATGCCTCATTAACGCCTCCCATAATCGATACTCGGGGCGCCCGTCGTCGTCGCCGGCGTCGAAAATAAATGCCCGTCGTCGTCCCGTTCCCGTGTCTCGGAACGAGCGCTGTCGTAATCGGAGTGTCCGGGAACGACAGGCAGGAAATAATAAGTCTCCCCAAACGGTCCTGTTTACAAGCTTTTTTACGCGACAATCGAATTTTCTGTGGCACCGACGAATGTCGGACTAACTTCGCGTGGGACTCTCCGCCTGGCATTTAGCGTCTCATCTAGAAATTGAAAAGCTTAGTGCCAGAAACAAGAAGTTCCTTCTCTAATCACTTAGAGATTTATACGCTTACTTAAATTTAAATTTAAATTATTAATTTTCTTCTAGTATTTTTCCTCAATGTTTCCTATCTTATGTATATTAGAATTATATACATATTTGATGTATTTGTCTGACGCGTCAAGTAGACGAATGCAATTCTACGTAATAATTTCAAACGAATTAAACTGGAGTACTCGATAATGCAATTCAATCGCCGGCGAACGAATCGGCTTTAATTCACAAACGAATGGTAATTAGGAGAAAGCCCGAGCGCAAACTTCTATCGCGAGAGTCGACGATCTACGACAAAGAGGCGACAGATTTATTTTCTCACCGCCTGGATTAATTTATATAAATTCGATGACACACACATACGGACGCGTCCTTAATCCGGTCTTAAATCGCATTAATCATCATAGCTTATTTTTCCTGTCGCCGCGTGTTCCTTCGACACAGCCTCCGCGTCTCCTCGTGGCGGTTGGTTCACGCCCGCTCCCGTAAATCGTTCCCCAACGAGTTCCGCGCGTCCGTGAAATAGGAGGTCGGTCGCGCGATGCGACGCGGAAACCGCGAGTGACGAGGGTCGGCCTCGCGGTTAAAGACCGCGCGTTAATCCAGCGCGAGTACACTAAGTATTATTTAGTGTCGGCGACCGGTGACAAGTCGATTTAATTTATTATCCCCGGTCGTCCCACGCTCGCAGAAATACACGGAGCGAGGTACATTCGCGAGCCGAGATTCGTCCTGGAGAACCGTGCTCTCTGGAGACGTTCCAACTGCGATCGAGAGAATGGTAGAACGAATGCACTGGCGAATGCGTTCGCGGTTCTCGTTCCCTCGAATGGTTATATTATTCGAATATTTAGATACGAAGTTTCTCATGCCCAACATATCCGACATATTTGAATATTTATCGTGAACGAACATCGAGCGCTTATTCTCACAGTCATATAAGTATTCATGTAAAAAGTTCAAATTCTAAAATTTGAGTTATTCTCAGTTATGTTATTAGCTATTTTATTATTATTAATTATATTATTAATTATTATATTATATTATGTAATTATAAGTTGCAAAAACGATTTTTCATCAAACTTATTTTACATAATTTACAATTTATATAAAAAATAACGAAAGAATTTAACTCGGAGAATTTTACAAAATTTTATTATTACACGAATTATAGAAAATATTGTTTAAAAAATCGGATATTATTATTGTCAGCGTTTAAAATCATATTGTTTCAAAAAAAATTGTAGAATTTTATTCCGCATAATAAATTATATCTAAAGCGCTCTTTACTTAATCATCTCGTTTGAACTCAATTTTACATGATACACTTTTCGCACGCGTGTACGAATATGATCCGAAGAATTTAGATCACACAGAATAGGGAGATAATGAATCATCCGCGCAGAGAGATACCTTATTTCAGTATATATCGCCTCAACCACCGAATTTATGTATCGGCTTGATTC